TATATATATATATGAATCTGGTTTAGCAACTTGCATGTATACGCAGTGTATCTGTGGTTCGAAAAACCCTCTCGTTGATGCGGACATGCTAACTTAAACAGTATGGTAGGTTATCAGCTGAAACTCGGTCCACGTTATCTAATCTGGTTCAAAACTACGTGGCTAGATCTCCCTAAATAGATTGACCACTGAAAAACAGAAATAAAGTCTTTTGCCATAGTTGGAAATTTGGCGTTGTTATTTTTTAAATTTTTTTGAGGATGTTATTTTTATTTTTGTTTTAGCTTCAAATAAGGGATACTCGATACAAGCACTCTACAAATACTTGGTGATCACCTACGTCCAATACCATTTCAACAAGCACATAACATTTTTATTTTTTATTTTATTACCTTATTATTCAGATTGTCATTAAATTTAGATCGTTTAAGATTTATATTCATGAATGCAACCCAGTAAGGTTTAACATTCAAATTCCAGATTGAACTGAAATTTCCAGCATTAATTTTGCAGTGCAGCTTCTTTGTTTTGTGAACGGCAATTTTCAAACTGCAAAACACTGCCTCATGCATGATCATAATGCGTATGACAGCGTCTGTTGCTTCAACTGTGTTAAAGTAAGTGGTTTTCTTTTAGTTTTCATCATGCATTCTTACTATTGTTCATTATTTGCAATGTAGTTCCTCACAAAATAGTGTCAGTATAGTAATCGATAAAAAATAGTAAAATTGATAACAGAAATGCAATACAAAAACAGAGTTTCATCATAAAAAGAATAAATGAGTGTTCATTATACTTATAAAGTTACTTCGAGCTTAAAATTAACTCAAGTTATAAACAGAACAATATGGGTATTACTTTTTTCCCTCAAGTTATGTTTTTGTTGTCAAGTTATCGAGTACATAAAGGTGAAAATAAAATACCGACCTTATACCGTTTACGAACAAAAATCAACACCAGAAATTATTGGAGGATTATGAGTGAAAAGAGGATAATAGTAAGTAAAACTCGTTGCTTCAGTTTTAGCAATATCTACCAATTTTAGTTTCATTTCACACCCGAATACATGCCTGGATACTCAAGTCCCTCTTCGTAAATTTGTGTAGAAATGGCAGCAAATATACTAAATACAAGCATGAATGTCTAAAATACAAATTCCAAATCACTACAATAATGGTCTGTTTTTTACAGCTTTGTTAAGTGTTTCGTAAAGAAACAAAGTGCATTCTACAATAGTTCATTGAATACACTGTTAAAAAATACTGGAAAAAGTACTGGTATTATGGTTGTGCCATCCTTAAAATTCATTTTACCGTAAAATGCATTTTTCAGGCATAATTATATACCATAGGATTCACAGTAATATTTTTTTTGTTCTTTAAAACCTTGCGTTAAAATTGGATTTTACGGAAAAAGTACTGGCACTCAGGATGCCGGTACTTTTTACCATATTTTTTCAGGGAATTTCGGAATTTCTTCTGAATTACCGTAATTTCTTACAGTGTTTGGGTGTTACGTGTTAATCAATGACGCATCAACTAACAGTGTTCTACAGCAAATTTCCTGGGTAGAATTTAATGGTATCTTAGGTGATTTTTTTATTTCAGTTTCGTATGCTTCTCCTTTATTAAGGCTCCATTTGTTTTGCGTAAATACCAAAGCACTTAAAATTTGATTTGCATAAAACGATACTTGTTGGTTTAAACTCGATTTAAACAGCTTTAATCTGATGTTGAAACAAAAATTTGCTTTACTTACAAAGTACTGTATATGTATTAGCTAAGGAAAGGAATAATGATTAATAAGAAATCTTCTGAAAAATCTTAGTGATTTTAATATTTTGGAAACGTTCAATATTTTGTTAGATTTTAATTTCCAGCAAACAACATTTTCCACTAACAAAATACCTTTTAGACAAAACATGCCGACACTCTACGTGGACAAAAAGTCAGAAATATATCCGTCATAATTTATGCAGATTGAATCTCGCGCATGCGTCTTTTCTGCTAGCAAAAATTTTCTTTCTAGTGAATAATTCCCGCAGGAATTTGTTCTAAAGTCTATTAACTAAAAATAAAATTTCCCTATTGTTTCTCATTAATTAGTATATATCAGTTATAATAAATAATTATATTGTTATAATTATTAATTATTTTAATAATTATAATTATTACGTATTATTAATTATTTTAAAAATCATTAATTATTACTTATTATTAATTATTTTAATAATAATTAATTATTATTAATTATTTTAATAATTATAATTATTAATTCTTATGTATAATTAATTATTATATTAATCATTACAATTATTAATTCTTATGCATTATTATAATGTAAATAAATACAATAATTAATTAATTTTACAATACAATTAATTACAAAATTAATTAATTAATAATAGTTTCAACTTTTAAAAAACTATTTCATAAAACCCTTACCCATTGTTTTAATCTTTCTTAACACTGACACATTTTATTTTCAAAACGCATAACATTTCCTCAAACTCATTATCTAATGATTTCGAATCAAAACTGAATTTAAAGAATAATTTCAAAATTTATCTTAGTTTAATTATAACATACCATACATTATTTAAAACTATCTTCATCAATAAATCAAAAAGTAATTTACTGAAGTCTTCATTAAATTTATTTATTTACTTCCTCTCCAACTATTTTTAATTAAAACTATTCACTCGCGAATTTTTCAGATGCTTTCTAAATATCCTTCGTCCAATTCGTTATGCAAATTGAAGAGGTCCCCCAGAATAACTATGAACCATTTATAAACAATTGCCATTTACTTTCTAAACACACCTCAATCCAATCAATGTAGATTTCCATTCTGAGATTCTTACCAAAACGATTGCTCATTGACTCCGGAATCAGATTGTATTATCCTTTCTTCGTTCGCAAACAAAGATTGTCATAGCCTCCGGACACACGAATGGGTCGTCGGAAGATAAATAATTTAAACCATTCACATATGCGTCTGGAATAGTGATTAGGACGTTATTTTTACCAGGAATAAATTATTATGGTCCTAGAAAAATGTCGTTTAGGAGGCCATGTTTTAACTGCCGGGAGATAATTTTATCAATCTAGCGGTGGTAATGCTATCACGGAAGCTGAAGTTGGCTATGCTAATATATATCGTTTATGGAAAATGTTTTCCACTAAAAAAGTGAATTTTTATGTAAATTCAGTGTTGGAACAAATGTAGTACTAATGGTTTAGGATAAAATAGAATGAAATATTTGTAAATCGATTCTGGGAAAGGAGGTAGATAAAAAAAAGTTGTTTGGAAGGTGCATGGAAATGAAATGCAAATTTTGAGATTGTGCCAAAAATATTTGCTTTGTATAAAGTGGAATTGGCATTTTTATGGCTGAATTTTGGAGAGAGAATGAATTAATAAATGTAACTATTTTAAATATTTAATGTGTTTTAGAAATAACACCTGCCATAACTGATTAAAACAAATTAAACTATTTAACCAGAAAGTAAGAAAATATGCATCCAGAATTTGAATTGTAGTTACAATAATTTGAAAATTAATTGTAAAAATTGATAACACCATCCATTAAAAATATGTTAGATGCAAAGTGTAAATATATATATATATATATAAAATAAAATATTATCAGTAGCTTATAATGGGTACACTTCCTAC